TCAAGCAGTTTACTTATGAAAGACTTCAACGGATTCAGAGTTGCATAAGATTACAAGAAAGGAAGGCCGAAGAAGAACGCCTAATTTCTATGATATTGAGAGAGTGAACAAAATTTTTTTTTTTTGTGCCATTTTTTAGTGATTTTTTTTAGTGGTATTTTTTTTTGTGGTATATATTTTTTTAGTGATATATTTTTAGTGGTATTTTTATTTTAGTTTAGTGGTATAATTTTTTTGAGTTTAATTTAAATTTAAAAACGTAAGCAATAACATGCTATTTTACTATTTTAAAGTTTATGCATCAATAGGAACCAATAATATTGATCGACTCGGTTTATGAGCGGGGGGGAAACGGACATCTTGAGTCAAACAGCGTAGAATTATATAGTCCTCCGCTTCGCTCCAGACTAATGATGGTATAATGAACTGGATAATCGTTCAACTATGAATCAAGTGGTCATTAAATTAAAATTTATTGCAAACCAATTAAAAATAGAAAAGAATCAAATCTTAAATCCTCAGTTCAAATAGTTATAATAATACGACCAATATATTGATAATTTACCTATATCAAGTTATTCGATTTTAGAAGATGAATACAGAAGAGATAGAACCTTCAGCAGCTTCGAAAGATAATCTTGCCAATTAAAAGATATTACCTGAAGAAAATTTAATATATAATCTTTAAAAAAAAAATAGTTGAATAGAGCTCAATAAAAGAACCGAATTAAAAGGAAATCGACTTATCGTTGATTATCTTCATAAACGAATCTTTACTTACAAGAATTTATGTATTGGCTTTCAAAATCAGATCTATTTTCAGATATTTCAATTTTTTGGATTTTAAACAAAAATTATGAAAATGTTTTCACTTTTTTTTAATGTTTACGAAAAAAAACAATTTGACGCGGAATAAGTTATAAACGAAAAATAGAAATTACTGTCTTTTAATTCGTACGAAAAAGCGTCCAATAAGGATCCGTAATATTATAATTAGAGTGTGTCATTACAATGAATAGACAAGGAATTAGAAATGGCTGCTTATTGATTCAAGCAATGGAAATACAACTGTAATTTGTTATATTAAGAAATGAAGAAGATGTTTAAGATTATGACAAAGCATTTCATTATATAAAAGATTTACTAAGAAAATAATTCGAGCGGATTAAGTAGCAACAATACCTTTCGGATATTCGGATGAAGTATTACAGTATTTCGGCAAATCAAACAAGAAATGATAAAAGTCGGCACCTTTATCCAGACTAAAATTAATTATTCAGGTCAGGTTTTATAAATCAAAAATAAAAACGGAATTATAGCTCAACCTTATAATTTAAATATTTACACATACCTCAATTTATAATTAATGAAACATAGTATTATATGATCGTGATTGGTGTGGTATTACCTTCTATTTTACTAAGGGATGCATCCTATATATGGATTGCGCTTAGGCCATTAATTTTATTTGATAATAATATCATAAGATAAAAAGATGTAAATACATATAGAAGAAACAACAAAAGAGAAACTATCTAAAACTAAACAAGCAGAAGCACTTCGACGCAAATTGGACATAGGACAACCGAACCCATATTTTCTACTTTCTTAGGCAATAGTACGAAACGAGAGGATACTTCTTTTTAAATTTTGGTCCTTAAGTTCAAGGAGAGAATTCACTGACCAGAAGATATTTCACTTTAACTAAGGTCATTGATGTTCTATATATTTTATTTTTTTTAAAAAAAAAGGAAGGAAGGCGTACAACAAATAGATCTAGTAAAATTAATCATTATAATGAAGGCGATACTCAATTTGATTTAAAAATGTCCATTACCTCTTGATAATATCGGCGTTGTTGTATTTCAACTTCTAAATTGTCAGCAAGAATGTAGTCCTAGAAGAGCCTAGATGTACAACTTTCATTAAGCTTTACCTAATATCAATGATAAATACATAGAAAAGTATGTAAGTACATATAGAAGAAGAAACAAAAGGGAAACTATCTAAAGTTAAACTAGCAGAAGCACTTTGACGCAAATTAGACATAGGACAAGCGAATCCATATTTTCTACTTGCTTTGCCAATAGTACGAAATGAGAGGATACTTCTTTCTATATTTTGGTCCTTAAGTTCAGGGAGTGAATTCACTGACCAGCAGATGTATCACTTTAA